GCCGATAATATCTGCTAAATGATAAATCGGTCGGGCTCTAGTGTGTACCACAAGCTTTCCTTGGCCGGAGAGATTTTGTCAGTGTCATAAATTCTTACAAAATAATTGAGAAACAAGGGGGCTTTGGTTGTTTTTGATTCTTCAAATGTTTGGAGTTTTCCTTTTGTAATGCATTAATGTAAACTAGATTTATTGGGATGCCTTTGTACAGATTTCAATACGTGCTCTCCAGATGTCGTTGTTTTGGATTGGTAGTACTTTGTTGCTTTGTCTTAAAGATGTTCCACATATCTCAGAATTGATTTTGATTAAAATTTTATATTTGTAAAAAAAATTAATTTATTTGTTATTATAAGATTTCACTGTACATAATGCGTATGGCAGGGTTGTTTGCCAAGCAATGTTTGTCATTTGCTATTTTTCTCAGTTTTTTTCTCATGGTCCTGCATTCTTGTTCAAACCATTTGTTTGTGTTTTGGCTGCTGTTTATGTTTCAAAGGGTCAGCTTTAAGCTTTAGCTGCCTTATGAAATATCACATTGATGTCATCGATGCCACAAGTTTGGCAGATGCCTTGTTTACACCATCTCTGGTTGAGACATTTTGAGTTTGGACATTTACTGATATATCATTAATCATCTCTCACATAATATATTATCACTCACAGCTATCTCTAGAAAACTATGTGAATTCCTGAAGTACATTTTATTACAATAAAATACATCATATTAATGCAACCATAGTAAAGCAGCAGATTCAAATTAATTATTCACATCCTGCAATGTCTGCTGTTATTTTGTAGTTTTATTTGTAGTATTACTTCAAACTTTTCTTAGGTTTTTCTGTTGCTTTTATTAGACACTATAGACACAGAAAGGAAATGAAGGAGGAGTATGGAGTTATGACATACAAAGGACACTGCAGTTTTGTGGTACGCACTGTAAGCAGTCAGCTACGTGCACAGATATTTGGGAGGCAGGGGCTCAAGTGAAAAAAGGGCACTACTCTTTTTTACAACAAAAGTTAAATATATTAACACAACTCTGACTTCTTTACCAATTTATTTTAATTCCCTCACACCCACACAATTGTTTCATACTCATCAGTCACATCATGGTTTAGTATTTAGCTTTAGAATTCAATAGGTTTATCACAAGAGCAGGGAACAGCAAAGGAAACTATGCCACAATGTGCATATATTCTATGCTACTAGTTTCAAGTATATATTTAGAATAAATGACAGCGCCAGGGAGAGGGACATTAAAATTGGGTTAGGGTTATAATACTTTTTGTTTCACAAGCGAGAAAACCTTCAGCTTCACAGAGCCAAGCAACATAATACTGAATTGCCTGAATACAATAATGTATAGATCAAATACATTATTATTATTGCTGTTTTACATGTACCGTACCCACACTATCGTGTGTGTGTGTGTGTGTGTGTGTGTGTGATGGTGACATGGACTTAGTCTCACATTTGAGGCCGGGCTGTCTGTATCGTGTAAAGATCTATCAGCATACAACAAACTAATAGAATGTATACTTATGAGATGAGGAGCCTATGATCAAAATTATTATTGTTTAAAGCAGGACTCTTTTTTATGTAGTGGTCAATTTTGAGATTTTGGTCTCTTTTGCTTCCATGTCTTGTTTTACTCAAATGGAAAGAAAACTTCCAAAATACACATTTAGATGGTGTTTACTTTAAGCCTACTACCCTTCGTTGGTTTGCATCTGTAGATTTCTCCAAAATTAACCAAAACAATCTAATCTGCATATTTAAACATAACATTTCAGGGGTAAAGTCTCATTATGTAAGTCATTAACTGGGGAAGTTCTGTGGTGATATGCTTTAGTTATTTTGTTTATCCTCTTCACCTGCATTACCTTGGCAAATGTATGCAAATTGATTAGATGAGAATTAGTTAGTCAACTCGGTGTATGTGGAACCTGATGGAAGTGCGTGCGTGGGGACAAAAAAAAAAACAATCATTGAACCTAAATAAAGAGCAGAGCCTCCATTTTAATACAGTGATGCTATAGAAATATGAATAGGTGTCAATGCAGACCATGGCATTTATTTAAAAATAAAAATGGAGTGGAGGAAGGATCAATAACTTACCAATATTAAATTTTATTCATCTTAGTACGCTCATTCAGCATTCACCAGACTCGATTTTCCTTAATGAATGATAAAGTGCAGGAATTCTCTTATATTACATTCGATTTTAAAATATATTTATTCAGCTATAACCTGATGGGACAAAATGCCTGACGATGAAAATATGTATCAAACAGATTAGACGCAGTTCACTCATATACCCATGATTATAAAGTCACCGTCCGACCCTGTAGGCTTTTTTTTTTTGCAGTGGAAAATGTGTCTAGTTTCAAACTGAAAAAAATCTTGTACATTTTGTAGGCTATTTAATAAAAAGCTGTCAATACACATTAAGACTATATGCAACTTATAAACTCTATCTAACTCTAACTATGATAAACTATGATGGTAGAAATGTTACATCGGTGCGGCTAATCACATATTAGTTTGCTTTAAACAGTGACTTCTGGAGTCAGAAAGAAACATTTGTTGAAGTAAACCTCCTCCCGAGGAGGTTGGGTTCACAGCGTAAGTTGCCGGGGTTACTGATCTAGGGTCTGTCTGATGTCGGTCTCTGAAAAAGAAAAAACCTAGAGTTTCCCTCATCTCAGGCTTAACATACTCAGAGTTTTCACTCAGGAAGTAGAGCGGGTTGTTTGTTTTTAACACACACACACACGCTGTTTTATTTATTTATTTTAATTAAATATATTACTTTCATTTTCTAACATACTAATACACACATGCCTATTGTTTGACTTATTTACTTTTTTTTAAATATTTATATTTATATATTTATATATTTTACTGAAAGCTAATTTGAATTTGAATAATCGGAAGGTCGGCGGTTCAATCCCCGGTTCCTCCAGGCTGCATGTCGAAGTGTCCTTGGGCAAGATGCTGAACCCCGAATTGCCTCTGGTGGCTGCCACCAGTGTAATTTCTGTTTGAGCACTTAGACTCAGTGTAAGAATGTGTGTGACTGGTGAAGCTCGAGCAGAGGGGCAGGGAGTGGGTGCTGTAAGAGATGTGATTGGGCCAGCCCAATGTCAGTATAGACAGTTAGGCCTATATTAATAAATAATTGACTTGTAGCCTAGTCTTCATCAAAGGAAAAAAAATAAAACTGAAAACACTCTGATCAGACCTAAATATCACCACAAATGTTCACTTCAGCACCTCCGATAAAGTGCAGCTCACAGCCGCTTTAGAGGTAATGAAGCAGAGACAGCAGGACACAGAGCGACAGGTGTTGTGATATTCTCTCACTACTTTGCGGCGACTGTAACCGTTAATACATTGACTAGACACTGACCGGCAACATATTTAAATGTATTGATTACAATTTTGCTGGGTACAATTCAGAAGTTGCGTTTGCTCTCTCTAAACGCAGGCAGGCTGAGTAACGGTGGGGGGTCACGTTATGTGAACTTCAGACAAAATATAGCAATATTATTGCGAGTAGCCTCCGCTCTATGAAGACCTGCAAGACAGGCTGCGTCATGAAGATTATTGCATATTAACATGGAAAATATTTTGTTGCTATTGTTGAGTTACATTTGGGGCTACAGTCAAAACATCTGTGGCTAAAGCCCCGGAAAAATTACCTGGCAACGCCGATGGTCTGAACACTCACACAGACAGAGCCACCTGCGGAAAGATATATCAGGAAGTGTCAAAGTACACCACTAGATGCATCTTAAACCAATCACTTTGTCAGAAATCTACACTAGCTAATGAGATTTCACTTTTAGCTTAAACCCGTACTGTACTTTTTACGATTGGTTGCAGCTACCAAGGAAATGAGCAAATTTGGATCAGACAGCAGGAGAGAGAGAGAGAGCCTTCAGAATATGATCAGAATACAGAATATGGTCACTTGTGGTTCCAAAAAAACAAGATGGCGACAGCCAAAATGCCAAACTTGTGGCTTCAAAACGGGAATCCAGAGTAGTAAGGTTACTATTAGCTCTTTAAGGTAAGATGGTGCCATCATTAAGAGCTTTGTAGGTGAGAAGAAAACCGGAAATGGGATTGGGATGGTACAGGATTACTTTTGTGGGAGTGGGACTGGCAGACTGGCCTTTGTCGTGCCCATTTGTCGCCACTCCCCGCTGGTATTAACCACTGGGTCCTACTTGCCCAGGGCCTGAAGACCACCTCCTCCTGGCAGTCCAAAGCTCCTGTGTTAGATGGTGTAAACACCAATACTCCCCCAGTGCTCTGAGCTCCCAGTCCGGACTGAGTCCACTAATAGGACCGCTACTAGCTGCACCGCTGAATGAGCTAACTGGCTAATCGTAGCTACAGTTAGCAAATACTCTGGTGATATGCTGCCCCCAATTTGTTTGGAGAATCAATGTGATAGGTGGCCAAAATGTTTCAATTGTTAGACAATGCACCTTTAACCCCAACCACAGCTTGCTCAGTCAAGGGCAATAATGAGGGGGACTTGCTCAACCAATTGGAAGCAGAATTCTGCCTGCTAGTTTTGATGGGAAGCTTTGACCATTTCAGAAACCAAGCCTCGGTAAACTTGTAATTTTTAACATCAAAAGGTCTGACTTAAATATCAGAATTCTGACTTTAACTCAACTCAAATACATTTTTCACATGTGGCCCTAATCTTCTCTATGTTTCAGACCATGATCAAATGGTGAGGAACATTGGCCTCACTGTCTGTCTATCAAAGCCAGTATTAGTCTAATTGTAGAAATCAACAATGGGCAATGGTTCTATCATATCATCATTCTACATAAACATTTTCCACTTAAGGTAGATTTTACAAGCTGCATTACAACTCACGCAACTTAACCAGTCACTAAGAAAGCAACCTTTATTAACCTGTTGGTTTTCCTTTTTTCCTTCCCACTGTCACTGTCCTCTCTCTATTCATACAGGGCAACCAAGAGGCCCCTGCTCACCCTGAAGCCATGGCCCAACCCTTCCCTCCAGCCCAGTACCCACCTGCACCACAGAATGGGATCCCAGCTGAGTACGCCACCCCCCACACCCATCCACCAACCGATTACACGGGACCAAGCACAGTGGCCGAGCACGCCCTGACACTGTACACTCCAACACACACACAGAGGGAACAGCCGGGAAACGACAGCAACGCCCCTACCCTCACAACCAACACAGTAACAGTGAGTCTACAATTTTTACTAACCTCATCTAACCATGTGGAATGAAGTGTATTGCTGTATTCTTATTCAATAAAATGTTAAAACATTCTGTATTATAGTTATATGAAAAATTTCATATCACGATTATAGTGACCAAAATTATGACAGCTATCAGTATTGTCACGGTATTGTTGAAATGTGCTGAAACCAACCAATCAAACCAACATCTTTTTGCATTAATATTAAAATTATAACAGCCAATACCTTATGTAAAAAGATGAAAACCATCTAAGTGTTCATTATCATTAAATATCTTTTATTATTTTATATTATGTAAGAAATGCAATGACTCCATGCAATACAAATGAGTCTTTAGAAGACAGTTACTGCAATTAGCCCATCAACGGACATAAATATAGAGCAGTCTGCAGTGTTTCTCCTGTTCGGACACTTTTACAACTAATTTGACAGCTCCCGGATTTTAAATGAACAAGATATGTTGGTTGGGTGACTAAACTGTGTAACATGTTATCATGTGCAGTGGGCGAATAGAGTCTGCAGACACATGACGTATACAGCAGCAGAACGTGTTGCGTTTTTACAGGAGCAGCTAACACTGAGAGCTTCAGTTTACAAGCTGTTAGCAAGTCAGACACGCAAACCAAAGTTAAAAGTAAACTCACACTGCGTTCACTATAAGGTCACTGTCTTCAATCAAGCTTCACTCAGCACTAAAGCTCATGTTGCATGCTGCACATGCACACCTGCTTCTGGGACACTGTTGATAACTGGTTGATGCTGGACAGTTTTTGCTGTGAGTTATCATGGTAATAATGTGTACGGTAATAATAACCATCGGGAATTTTACCATGGCTTATCATTAGACCAGTAACCGTTTCATCCCTAATAACAACTATAAATGTATCCCAAAATGCTTACATGAATTGGTAGATTACTATAAAATTAATGCTTAAAACCCTAAACTGCATTCTCAAAAAGATACTGTTGTGGAAACGGAAGATCAGTCTGTGTTGAGGTCAGGAGAGATTAGGTCACAAATACCGGCCAACACAATATCCTCTGGTCTTACAGACCCTTTATAGCAATTCCAAAGTCACTGTTTTTCTTTTAACCTTTAATGTTATTAGACTTTTGGGACAGGTATATTTGTTTAGTGTCTTTTACCTTTATTTTTATTTTCTTTACTATTTTGGGCAATGAGCAACATTACTGGCTTCTGTGCAATTATACTGTACTGTAGTTTGGTCTGGTAGGCTTGGCGGTCTTTGTACATGTTTAGTAACCCTGTTTTGATCCAGTTTTAGTGTGTTGGTTGCAGTGTGGGCCTACTATTATAACTTTTTAATTACTACTAACTGTTTATGCAAGTCATGGACCTTTTTATAGGCGTTTGTTATTTTTAAATGTGGAGATAAGCGAGTCATAACATTATACAAGTTTATCAGAATCAGAATCAGAAGGAGCTTTATTGCCAAGTAGTGTTTTACACATACGAGGAATTTGCTGTGGTGATAAGGTGCTACACGTAGACAAACATACAGTCAACATAAATAAATGTAGAAATATATAAATATGTAATGGAAGAACAACGTTGCAGATATATACATGTGCATTATTCTGGGTCTGTGCCGTGCATAAGTGACGCAACGGAAGAGAATATTGCGTACATATAAATACATAACCTGACAACATAAAAATATACAACAACAAAGATCAACAATCAACAACAAATATGTGCAACGTGCCAGGTCTGTGCCTGACACGAGATGAAACAGTATTTACATGTGCAGAGACATTTGTATCATTTGCAAGGCGGGAGTGTCAGTGGGGGACCCGGGCCTTGTTAATGAGGCTAGTTGCAGACGGGAAGAAACTGTTTTTGTGGCGAGAGGTTTTGGTCCTGATGGACCGCAGCCTCCTGCCAGAGGGGAGAGTCTGAAACAGTTTGTAACCGGGATGGGAGGCGTCAGCTGCAATCTTTCCTGCTCGCCTCAGAGTCCTCGAGGCGTACAGGTCCAGAAGAGATGGAAGATTGCAGCCAATCACCTTCTCTGCAGAGCGAATGATGCGCTGCAGCCTGCCCTTGTCCCAGGCAGTGGCAGCAGCGTACCAGATGGTGATGGAGGAGGTGAGGATGGACTCAATGATGGCGGTGTAGAAGTGCACCATCATTGTCTTTGGCAGGAAGTACATCCTCTGCTGGGCCTTCTTGGTGCGGGAGGTGATGTTCAGCTCCCACTTGAGGTCCTGGGAGGTGATGGTGCCCAGGAAGCGGAAGGAGTCCACAGTGGTGACTGGAGAGTCACACAGGATGATGGGGGAGGGTGGGGCTGGGCTCTTCCTGAAGTCCACCATCTCCATGGTCTTCAGAGTGTTGAGCTCCAGACTGTTCTGGCTGCACCAGGTCACCAGATGGTCCATCTCCCACCTGTAGACAGACTCATCCCCACCTGAGATGAGCCCAATGAGGGTGGTGTCATCCGCAAACTTCAATAGCTTGACAGACTGGTGACTGGAGGTGCAGCTGTTGGTGTACAGGGAGAAGAGAAGGGGGGAAAGAACGCAGCCTTGAGGGGAACCGGTGCTGATGGTCCTGGAATCAGAGACATGTTTTCCCACTTTATGGAGTGGAGGACTTTGGGTTTATAGTTTGTGATCTGTCTGAACCCCCTCCAGACAGAAGTGGCGTCGTTTGCAGAGAACTGGTTCTTTAGTCTCTCTGAGTACAGTCTTTGAGCTTCTCGCACCTCCCTGCTAAACCTCTACTTTAACGCCCTGCACCCGGCCCTGTCACCATTCTTAAATGCCTCCTCCTTTTCCAACCTTAGCTGTCTGAGTTTAGCTGTAAACCAGGGTTTGTGATTGTTATAACTCACCCTGGTCCGTGTTGGAATGCAGCTGTCCTCACAGAAGCTGATGTAGGACGTCACAGCCTCCTACATCATTATTTACCTTACCTTTCACTTTTCTGCCAATCACACAGTGTGGACACCGTTTCTGTGTTGTTGCCACATTGCCACACATGTACAGGGCGCAGGCTGTTAGACCCATCCTCATAAGCAGTTTTACATCTGAATGCAGCTTAATGCCATAATTGCCACTATAATACATTCCCAAATATTGCGAGGTTACATTTGTAGATTAACCTGTTGGGACACATTTCATGGCAAGTGAAAAAGCATCAATAAACACTCAAAGCACTTTTACACTACCTCGCATTCACCATTCACACACAGAGCCTAAGTGCTCAAACAGAAACTAACATTCATACACTGGTGGAACAGCCCCCAGGGGCAATTAGGGATCCAGTATCTTACCCAAGGACACTTCGACATGCAGCCTAGAAGGCCTCACTTAATTCCAACATATGTATACAAACAATGTATACATATGTTAAGTAATAGTCATCAAATTTACCTCCATCTTATCAAGACTGCATACATTAAGGTCCTTATAAATAGATCCTACAGGCCGATGAGGTAATTTGAGTCACAGAATGCAGGCTACATTTGTAGATTAACCTAATGTAGCATATACACCATCTGACGCTTTTATCCAAAGCGACTTAAGATTGCTATACATGTCAGAGGTCGCACATCTCTGGAGCAACTAGGGGTTAAGTGTCTTGTTCAGGGACACAATGGTGGATGGGTCACAGTGGGGGATTGAACCTCACTCCACCAAAGGCATAGTTTTATCCACCAAAGGCATAGTTTTATCCATTGCGCCACTGCTACCCTGAGAAACAGAATATAGAAAAAGTCACCAATAATGCATTAACTTAGAACCCTCCACAATATTATCAGGAAACATTCCATAAGCTTTCATTGTTATGCAGATGATACTCAGTTATATCTATCAATCAAGCCAGATGAAACTCATCAGTTAGCTAAACTTCAAATGTGCCTTCAGGATGTTAAAACCTGGATGACCTGTAATTTTCTCATGTTAAACTCAGATAAAACTGAAGTTATTGCTCTGGGGCCTAAGCACCTCCGTGACGCATTATCTAAAGATATAGTTTCCCTGGATGGCATCGCCCTGGCCTCCAGCACCACTGTGAGGAATCTTGGAGTTATCTTTTATCAGGACATGTCGTTTAAGTCTCACATTAAGCAAATTTCAAGGACCGCCTTTTTTCACCTACGTAATATTGCGAAAATCAGGAACATCCTGTCTAAAAATGATGCAGAAAAACTAGTCCATGCATTTGTTACTTCTAGGCTGGATTACTGCAATTCCTTATTATCAGGCTGCTCGAAAAAGTCCATTAAGACTCTTCAGCTGATCCAGAATGCTGCAGCACGTGTTCTGACAGGAACCAGGAAAAGAGATCACATTTCTCCTGTTTTAGCTTCTTTGCATTGGCTTCCAGTAAAATCCAGAATAGAATTTAAAATCATTCTTCTTACCTACAAAACTCTTAATGGTCAGGCACCATCTTATCTTAAAGAGCTCATAGTACCTTACTACCCCACCAGAGCACTGCGCTCCCAGAATGCAGGGTTACTTGTGGTTCCTAGAGTCTCCAAAAGTAGACTAGGAGCCAGAGCGTTCAGCTATCAAGCTCCTCTCCTGTGGAACCAGGTTCCAGTTTGGGTTCAGGAGGCAGACACCATCTCCACATTTAAGAGTAGGCTGAAGACTTTCCTCTTTGATAAAGCTTATAGTTAGGGCTGGCTCAGGTGAGTCCTGAACCATCCCTTAGTTATGCTGCTATAGGCCTAGACTGCCGGGGGATTTCCCATGATGCACTGAGCTCCTCTCTCCTCTACTTTCTCTCCCTCTGTATGCAACCTCATCCCATTATTGCATGTTACTAACACAACTTCTCCCCTTTCTGGTAGTCTTGTGCTTTCTCGTCTCTCTCCTCTCTCCTATCACTTCCTGCAGGTTTTCTGGCTCTGGAGCTGTGGAGTCTGGATCTGTGGTTGCGGGTCACCTGCTGCCCCCGTGTTCCTGCTCGACACCCTCTGCTGCAACGACTATTGTTGCTAGTC